CCCCAAAACCCCAAAACCCCAAAACCCCTTTAATTCTCAATAAAGTTGAATTTCAAACAGAAACATCTTTTTCTTTTTGTTGTATATCATATTCCAAAACTCGATGATAAATGAATACACTTCCTCCATCTATCACTATCTTCAAATTGTCCAACCAAGGATTCTTGGTCTTAAAAGAGTCAATTTCTGACTCTGAGCCTTTCACATATCCTTGCTAGTGCTCTCAACAGAAATTATGACTCTCTCAGTTTGAAATTTCTTCATGAATCATCAAAGCACAAAGTAATCTCTCTAAAATGATTTACATCTCTAATAGCGAAGTCTGGACTGCCACAACTGAGGTTTACTCTCATTCATGAGCTTCTGTCAAAACTAACCTTGCGCATAGGCAGCGGTGCTCTCAGACCTCAACACTTGGTCGTAGAAATTATCACGGGGTGCATACTCTCAGCGTTTGCAATGTTGGATGCCTATTTCCCTGAGACATTGTCTTCCAGAAGCAAGTCTGCAGCTGTAGTGTTGGTATCTTAGCTGTTGTTCCCATTAGGGTCAACTTTATTAATGGTTTCGTTTGCAATGTTGTTATGGCAAGCATGACTCGTAACTTGTGTTCCCTTCTTATATAGTTTACCAAACCTATAGGCCAATTCTTGGCTTATTCAAGCAACAGAAAGAGGACAGTACAATTTTTGGAGGCTATGTGTTCTCAATCAGTTGTTTTTCTTGGGGATCGTCTCAGTCATACATTCTATTAGTCTCTTAGATATATGGAGAGGCAGTATCATTTTTTTACAACGTCTCATAGTAAGTTCACTTTTCTTGCTTGCTTCTAATTTTTGTAACTTATCTTTGTTCTTTCTGATTATTTGCATATGATTGGGAAATCACGAGATTGACAAAAGAAATGGGAACTATTGTTTATGGAAATCTTTCTTCCTCTATGATTGCGAACTTTGTTACACTTGAGATGGATCTCAGTAATGATTGGTCCTAAATGAATCAGGTACTCTAAACTGCTTCTTCTAGAAAACGCGGAAAGATTTACCCTCCATATAAAATGAAGAGCTTTTATTAAGGGATGAATTACGTTTAGTTGATTTTCTTATCTTTTTGTAACAACGAAGTATTTTCTGATGGAACTCTAGGAAAAGCACATCAACCCTTAGGAGTTTTAGATATTTAAACAATTTTAATGCTCAAAATTTTAACTAGGAATCCTCCTGTATTAAAGCTTCCTTCTGTTTTTACACAAAAAAGTAAATCTGATATTAAAAATACTTATCGAAGAGAAGTATTGAAACCTCCCGTTTTGGCTAATAGTCAAAATGGGAGGTGCAGATTTCTTTGCTAGCAGTTTTCTTTGTTTCAAAAGTATTGATGATTTTTTAAACCCAACCAATTATTTTTCAATCTAACCTACTTAAAAAGGGGTTTTGGGGTTTTGGGGTTTTGGGG